ATCACTCAAATAATTGTTTTAATAAATGCTTTATACAACAGTAAAACAGATTAGTGACACGTTTCCTCCTGTGTAATGATGCAATTGCAAACTAAATAAAAATGTGACATTAAAATAATGAGAAGAAAGTAGAAAAATAATTTATTTGAGATAAACTACAAAACAATACTGACATCAATATCAACATTGCATCCCCCCTCCCAAAAAATACTGTAATTCACTGAATAAAAACACTATACATTCAATTTAACAAATTATTTAAAGAGGTAACAAAAACATGAATTTTCTTACTGTTACAGTAGACACAGTATGCCACACTAAACACTTATGACACTTTGTAAAAACTTAAAATAAAATAAAACTCTGATATATACATACTATGGAGCCCTGTACAAAAAAGAAAGTATGTCGTCGCCACAAATGAATCACCATGTAGCCACGGTTTACTTAAAACGAGAGCCCAAATTAGTCACAGGTCCCTACAGTTACTAATGATACATCAGAACATATGACTAATTTGGTCTCTCGTTTTAAGTAAACCAACATTGTGGTGATTCAATTGTGGCGACGATATACTTGTACTTTTTTTTTTTTTTTTTTGTACAGGGCATTATGTTGCATAACCGTTCCTACGGTTACTAATACATCAACACATGTGACTAATTTGGTCTAATAATCTTTTACCTTGTTTTACTTAAATCAAAATGAGGGAACGAATTAGGCCACGATTTAGTAAAACAGGAAAACAAAAATCTTAATATCATGTGTGGGGCTAACGTGTTTATATAGATAGATACACACACACACACACACACACACAAGATTCACTAAATGATTAGTACAACAAAATGCAGTCAAACTTACAGAATAAATGATTTTGGCTACAAATATGCAACATATACAGAAAAGGAACTAGCACCATTTAACAGTACCAAAAAAAAAAAAAAAAAACATATTAATGCTAAAATGTTCAAGCTCTTAAATTAAGCCTAGAAATGAAAAGCATTATTTATCTAAGGTGCAAAAAGAGGACAATTGCTTTAAATGCCTTTTTGGGTACAGTCCATTTTGAAGAGGTCATCTCGATGCCTCATTCTCGGCAACTTAAAATGCCAACTCTGAAACTACTCAGGAAATAGGCCTAATAAACTGCTGTGTATTTGAAGTTCACTTCACTAGAACAGATGAGAAGAATGTATCACAATGTTCATTTCGGAATTATATATTTATATTATTTTGTTGCATTGTCTTATAGAATTTATTTTATTTTACTTGCATACTCAAAGCCTATGAAGTGAATAATGGGACTGTTTCAGGAAACGTCTATTGGAAAGTGTTGTGCATGTGCACTTTTTTTTATAGTCTTTCTGGAAGGCAGTTTGGAATGATCTGGTGTGAGCTCTCAATGTAATGAACCTAACACCTACTAATGATGCTTGATGCCATTGCCAGAGGGCGGTGCATATGGTGTAAAAGAAAAAAAAAAACATTTAGGTTAAAATATTCATTACAATATAATATTTTTATGGCATCCCATCTGTATCTGTCCACCACACTACCTCAATCACATCTTTGTGTATTCATAGACACACCTGCTGACATAAATGTTGGCGTCGCCACATGATAATACTTGATGTGTTAATTCCCATTTGTTTTTATATCAGATCTCAGCCCTCATTTGACTGACTGCAATCTTCTTCAAAGAACTGTAATGCATTTTAGACAGGTTTAAGACAGGTTTCCACAAACTGGTTCTTATGGGATTACATTTTGGGCAACACTTTTGAATACTGTTCCTTCATAACTGCACAGGAACAACCTAGTAACACATTCTAGTAACTGCTATTAAAGGGATAGGGGGATAAGTCTGAGAGCTGGATCACTCCTCCATATAGGCTTGTAACGGATTGAAACTTGCCGGCCCAAAAGTTATTCAAGACATCGTTAAAATAGTCCAAGTGACTACAGTGGCTCAATCTTAAGTTTATCAAGTGACGAGAATACTTTTTGGTGCGCAAAATAATAATAATAATAATAATGACTGTTGACCTCAATTTAGTCCACGCTTCTGGTTGTAGAATTACACACATGACCAGCGTCTGACAATAGTGAGCCTACGTGTGACCTACAACCCAGAATCGCTGTGCAGTTACACTACATGCACATTTTGAGCCTATAGGAGTGATCCAGCTCTCAGATAATTGAATCAAAAATATCTTAATTTGTGTTCCGAAGATGAACGAAAGTCTTGAGGGTTGGAACAACATGAGGGTGATTAATTACTGACTGAAGTTTCATTTTGGGGTGAGCTATCCCTTTAACTATCAAGAAACTCTGATTAACTAAGTTGAATGTGGTAGTTCACTATTAGCTAATCAATAACTACTATTGTTTCATGCCTCCAGGAGGACTTATTCATAATTAATGTCAATAATGTATAATGTATAATTAATTCTAAAGTGATTATGGTAACCCACTAGAATGACTCAAGTAGTATTATCAAACCCTTCAGAAGGAATTACTAATTGTTTGGAACAGTATTCTAAAGTGTAAAGCAAAATAACTTTGACAGAAGTCATTGTAAGCTTTTGAATATTTTGTAAGGTTTTCGATAGTAATTGCTTCTGATGGATAAGTGGGTTACCATGGTGTTTACTTTAGAATACCAATCCAAATGCCCAGTAATTCCTTTAGAAGGATGTGGTAACATTTGAGTCATCAATACTATCCATAACCTTAGAAAAACCTCAAAAGCTTACAATGATTTCAGTAATTGCTAGCGAGTTATCATGCTTTTCACTGATAATTAATTAAAGAATAATTAGTAATTCTGATGGATTTGGTAATACTTGTGTAATTAATAGTTGGTTACCATGATCTTTACTTTAGAATTAATCATACATTGTGCATTACACTAATTAATAATTAACTTGTATATAGTATAGAAGGCTAGTTCTTAGTACTCCTTTGGGAGGTATGAAAAAAAGTAGTTCCCTTTCGTTGTCACTCCGAGTTACGTCGGATGACGGCGAATGGGGTTCGCTTAGAAGCCTCTCATGTTCGAAAGAAATAAAACGAGCCAATGGCAAAGAAATGCCATGGGTCTGCGGAATTTGCATGGCGTAACTCCACACCACCGTGTGGGTATAAAAGGAGAACGCCAGCAATATGCAGATATTTTTTTCGCTTCAGAGCCAAGAAGTTCTCAAAACCAGGTTTCAAACCTGTCAACATTGGATCGGGCTGTCAAAGCAGTCAACCAGTGTTTTTGCTTCAGACGTCATTTTCACGTGACTAGTGGCGAATTGATACAAGCACCAAAGCAGTGATTGCAAGGACCATTCGAGTTTGAAGAAAGTTTCGGAGCGTCGGTGTCAGACGTAACATCTGATTCCCCTTTAAATCATCCTAAATTCTCAAACTATGTTGTACATTCAAATATTGAATTAATGATATCTGCAATACATTCATGTTGGTTCTGGTCTGTTTACCCTAAGGGAGGTTATTGCTGCTATTATCCATGCAAGGCTGTTCTTGCCCAGAACAGAACCACACTGCCAATCCAAACTGTGTGCTAATTGTCAATCGTCTTTGACGACAGTGGTCCTGACAGAACTGGTAATAAATCCAGATTAGCAAAAAGTCCAGTCTCTTGGGTTTATGAGGACTTTTATAGCAGGTCTGGTATAGTTAATTGCACATGAAGCAGTAAACACATTTATGACCAAAGCAGAACATGACCCGCATCATTGAGGTGCAATACCAGTTACAAGAGGTAATGTTCCATTTCCTGGACTCTTGCTAAAGACAGCAGGAGTGAGCTTTAATTGAACAGAGATATTTTTTTAAGGTACAAAATTCAAAGAAATACACCATTGAAAGGCTTGGGGTCGGAATGATTTCTGGAATGTTTTCGAAAGAAGTCTCTTATGCACACCAAGACTGAAAATATTCGATCAAAATAGTTATATTGTGAGAAGATTTCACAATTTAAAAATAACCGTTAATATTACAGTTTTTCTCGATTGTTTACACACATTTTCTGGTACTTGAGACACAATGACCACAACATGCAACTCATTCACCAACCCCCTGAACCAATTCTACTGAACTACAAGCACAATTCCTGCTTTACACTCAAATTGCAGTTCTAAAACTCACTTTTTTTCAAAACACTACACACAAATTCTCTGCATTTGGCACAGTTTTCATGCAGAAAATCTCTTGTTTTCATGAGGAACACACTGCCATTCAAATACTCACACTGACTCGTCACATGGGCAAACATATTTCACACAGTTTTACAATTAGCGATCAGGGCTTTAGCATAAAATACCAAAACCAAAGAGAGGATGCAGCATAGATATTTTTTTATTTCTTTTTTTACTGTAACAGCATAAAAAATTCTGTTGTTTTGTATGTAGACCACTGTATGTGCAACTTTGTGTTGGTTGGGGTGTACAAAATGTTGGATCTATCTCCCATTGATTTTGTGGGAAAAATAAAATATATTTGTTACCGTGTATTTGTGTGTTCTGGGTATAAAAAACAATATTCTCAAATATTTTACAACACAGTTATGTATGTAATGTCTGTAGTAAGTGTAACACTGAACAAAAAAGGCCTAAGTCATTATGATGAATGGAGAAGAAGTGTTTTCCATTCATCATAGTGTTTTACTTTGAGCACCTCAGTGTTCAACTGGTTCTTATAAATGTCTATTCATATGATGGTTTGTGTGTGTCATTTGAAAACAAAATACCATTTTGAGAAGAACTAACATTGTTTTGAATGTAAAGTTTCATTTTGCAGGAGAATTGAGGGGTTTTGCCGATTGTGTGAGTGTTTTTAGATTTGTGTGTAGAGTTCTGAGAATATGAGGCATTCTTTCAGAAAATGTGTGTAAACAATCGAGAAAAACTGTAACTGTATATTTTAAAATATCATTTATTTCTGTGATGGTATAGCTGGAAATTCAGCATCATTATTCCAGCCTTCATTGTCACACGATCCTTCAGAAATCATTCAAATATGCTGACTTGGTGTTCAAGAAAAATGAATTATTATTAATGTTGTGATCATACATTCACAGCTGTGATCTCTCTTCACATTAACAATCTCCTTTTCCACCTTCTCTTCTTTCTCTCTCCAGGTCTCGCAGCATCAGGTCTGAGGGCAGAGTGGAGTCTGAGCCTACATACATTGTGAGATATTTCTGGCAATGAAGTCTGAAGTTCTAAATGTCTGGATCTCTGAGGCGATGGAGAGGTGCTGAATGTCCAGTTCAGTACACTCTACTGGAGCATGAAACCCCCAGGCAGTCTGCTGCTCTACGGCACAACAGGGTCTCACTGTAGACTGTCCTCCATCCAGAGTGAGAATGACATGCTGGCTGTAGAGGGCAGAGTCTAAAGAAGAAACATCATGCGTTTCTGTTGCCTGCATGATGACTCCCATTGCTGGATCAGTGCAGGCTGAGTTTCTCATCAGAGGAAGAAACTCACACTCATGCAGGCCAAGATCAGAGGTTACCGTGGTGGTGATGTCATCAAGCATGCAGGGGTCCTTCAATGGCAGGCAAGGATCTTATAGGATAGAGACCACAAATGTCAGGCACACAGTCATTGAATCTCTTTCTTTTTCTGATGTTTTTGGGTCACATTGACCCAGAGAGGATGTTCTCTTTCCCAAAAATGTCAACGTCATCGCATTGGACTAAAACTTACTGACTTGGCTCACACAGTGGTCACACACTTGTGTTTTACATTAGCTGTGTTCATCGTTTTGTTACTGGCCATATGCTTGTGTTCAAGTCATGTTTGGTGTGACATGGCTTTTCGTGTATGTTTTCTTGTGCCATGTGCTCTCCTGGGTAGGGCTGCACCAGCCGTTCGTAAGTTGTAACAAAAAGTCCACGCTAGAGGCATAGTAACTACTAGCTAGTTTGTAACTAACTCTGTACTTTATTCTGTTGCAGCATTTGTTTGTAAGGTAGAGCGTAGCTAGTAGGTCATAAACTCTCCTTAAAGTAATGCGCAGTAGTCGCATAATATGACGTTTAACCTCGAAGAACCAATAGCAGCCTTCAAATACGTGAGCAGAAGATGTGTTGAAATGTCGTGAATTTCAGTTTATCCTTCATTGTAACTTCTTTTGCCTCACGTTATTAATGGTAAAAATAACTTTCAATTAAATATGATACTTATATGATACGTATATGACAATATGATAAAAAGTGTTTTTATACATAAATAACATTCATAAACTGTATTCGAAGGATCAATAAATACATATACATTTATTGATTCTGGCTGATATTTGACATGCACAACACGGACCGATGCACAGCGGCCCTGTTTAGTACGGGTTTGTGTTAAAGAGCCGCTAACAAAGTAATCTTTTCACATAATGTTCTCTCTCTTAAAATGTAAGCATTATCATAAATGTCAGCCTTAAATGAGTCACACATAAATAAGTGTAAATGTCAGCAATATCATATACATGTCTAAAGAATTGAAGTCTTTCAGGTAAAAGAAGAGCATTGATGCAGTCTGTCTGATTTTTTTTTCCAACCGTCAATACTGCTGTAAATATTTAGTTGGAACATAGAGTTACGTTTAAACGAAGTTAAATGGTGCAACGTGTAAATATTTAGTAGTGCGTAAGTTGTAACTTAGTGCCCATTTATGTCAAAACTAGGCTAAGTTGTAACTTGTGCACAGCTGGTGCAACCAGCCCCTGTTGATTGTCTAGCCCCTCCCATCTTGTTACCTGTTTATTGATTTGTTTGCCCCACCTGTCCTCCCTCGTTACCTGATTGATTCATTTTGTCAGCTCTCCCAATTTAGGCCACGTTTACACAAAGCCGTGTATTTAGCAAAACGAATATTTTCCCCCTCTCCGTTTTCAAAAATAACATCGTTCACACACCTGCATAAATACACCGTCGAGCGCCATCATATCCATGCCAAACCTATTGGCGGCAGTGTAGGGGTTAAGGATAAAGCCATGCAAGCCAATCAGAATCCTCAGAATCGATAAGAGAGAACCTAAAACGCCGTTTCTCCCAGTTCACATGACAACACATAACCGGCGTTTTCAGACATCTCCACTTTGACCGGCGTTTTTAGAAATAATCGTTTTCTGTGATAAAAACAGGGTTTTCATGTAAACGAGAGGCCAATCCGCAGGGAAATATCTGCGTTTTCCCTTTGTGTAAATGGGGCCTTGTTCTCCCTGTGTTTGCAGTCCTGTGCTGTTTCGTTGTCGAATGCACCTCTTGTGTCCTGCCTAGATGCGGTTGCCAAGTCAAGTCAAATTAAATCAAGTCTTTTGTTTTCCAAGTCAAGTCTGTCTTGTTTTGTTTTTCTTTTTGAAACTGACTGATAATAGGTCTCATTGATCAGAGTTTATATTGGTCAAAGAGAGGTCCCGGAACTCCCGGGAGACTTGGGATGTCTGAAATTAAATAAGTAATTTATCGCACCTCTCTGCGATACGGATATCGCATATACTATTATCGTGACGAGGATAATTTTTCGATACATTGTGCAGCCCTAGTTCATACTTACATATGTACTGTATATGTGTGCTTGCAAACATAAAAGCCTCGGATCATAGTAAATGTAAGAATTAAACTATCGCATTAAACTTGAAAGTACAACTTTCAATGTACTATTGAAGTTGATTTCTGGACCTCGTAATGTTTTTTTGTTTTTTTCTACAATTATTATTGTACATATCTGATATAGCATTAGCACATTCCCTATCCACACACACTCTCTCCTGTCCCACCTACTTTGTAAAACAATGTTACGTCACTGACACACGCACATACAAACACCCATTCATGTACACAAACAATTTATTTAGATTTTTTTTTTCACAGAGATGAACTTTATGCTCAGATCAATGAGGCCTATGATCAATCACTTAAAATAAATAGAAAAACTATTTTTGATGAAACCTGAGAGCTGTCTCACTCCTTCATAGAGTGCTAGGTAATCGATATCTGCCATCCCAGAAAAGTTAGTAAAGACATCTTTATATTTATTCATATAGCTGACGCTTTTATCCAAAGCGACTTACAATTGCTATATATGTCAGAGGTTGGACGCCTCTGGAGCAACGGATTAAGTGTCTTGCTCAGGGACATATTGGTGTCTCGTAGTAGATTCGAACCCGTGTCTCTCACACCAAAGGCATGTGTCTTATCCACTGCGCCATCACCACCTCATTAAAATAGTCCAAGTTACTTCAGTGGCACAACCTTAGGTTTACAGTATCAAGCAGCGAGAATACTTTTTGTGAGCAAAAACAACTTTTTTTAACTGTTTTCTATACAAAAAGCTTACGGTACCAAAGCTTAATTTAGATTAAATTTACATAAAGTGTATATTACGGTTACAAAGATGGAAACTGCAGTATTAAAAACTATTTACAATAAGATTCCATTTGTTAGATAACATTAGATAAAATGACCTAACAATAAACAATAGTTCCCTTCCAAGGGACAACACATGGGCGGCCTCTTACATAATCCAGGGAGTTCTGGAGAGAGTTTTCCGGGACAGGGTCTGTCTTCTAAAAGAATGGCCTCTTTTTGGCAGGCCCGAGTATGGTTCTTAGACCTAGAGTCTCTCCTCGACGGCTCTCTTCTGGAGATTGCGCTCGAGGGGGGACTTTTTCTCACATGCCAAAAATTGTAGAGACTTTGGCCTTGACTTCTGAGGGGGCCCAACTCATAAGTTCAGGCTATTGAGTCAACAAACTAAGGCTGTTGAGACCATTATCCACTCCAGAGCTCTTTCCACAAGGAAACTCTACACCTTGAAGTGGATATAGTTCACTTCCTTGTGTGGAGAGCACCAGCTGGACCCAGTTATCTGACCTGTGGCTACAGTGCTGGAGTTCCTGCAGGGGCGTTTCTCCACAGGTCTATCCCCCTCCACACTAAAGGTGTACATGGCGGCCTTAGCTGCTTACCCCACATCCCTTTAAGTGGTGTATCCTTGGGGAGACACCCTATAGTATGATTCCTTCGCGGCACTGTGAGGCGTCTGAACAAGATAGCAGGAGTATGGCTGCCTCAAAGGCTTTATTATCAGAGGTTTTCCTCCATGACATCTGTGATGCGGCAGGCTGGTTCCTTCCCGCATTCATTTGTTCGATTTTTATGACTTGGATTTAGGCTCCACCCGGGGTCTGGTACTTCACACAGAACAGGAATTTGCTATTATGGCGTCATGGATATAGTGTTCCCACACCGCATCTTGACGCAGCTCAAGTTCCTTTAAAAGGGAATGTCTCAGGTTACGTATGTAACCCTGGTAGAGGGAATGAGATGCTGCGTCGCCCTACCATACTCTCTACATGCCTGTGATCGACTTGCTTTGGCTTTTCAGAAACTAGTTCATTCGCGCCATCCTGAGGGCATTAGACAGAATTCCTGACCAAGAACATGGTCAAGATAACTCATGACCTATCTAGACTTCTGGAGCACCCGTTTTTTCCAATGATCTTGGACCAGACTTTAATACTGCTGAGGCTATTCTTGTCCCTCACAGACAATCCATAAATCCAGCAGATAAAAGAAACTGTTAAAAGGCTTTCAATAAATTAAAGGTGCTCTAAGCGATGTCACACGTTTTTTAGGTCCAAACATTTGTTGTCACATACAGCAAACATCTCCTCACTATCCACTAGCTGCCTGTCCCCTTAACAAACTATAAAAAACGTGGTCTATGCAGACAACCCAGGCAACAAAAACAAACTGCGGCAACCCGCTCCACGAAACGTAACAAACTGTTCCTGACATTAACTGACAAGAATGCCCTGGGGGTGGGGTTTGGGGGGTCAGTGCAGATGAGGAGGAGGGAGGGTCTATCTAGCCTCCGTTTTGTTTGAAAATACTTTAAACATCAACTAGAAGTCATGTCATCCGACATCGCTTAGAGCACCTTTAATCGTAAAAGTTACATAAGATGCTTTGAGATACATTGAAAGAATTTAGCTTCCGCATCTTTGTTGTCCCCGCTTAGATTGACTCTGTTTTTGTCAAACATGGTTCCTAAGTACTTATACATTCCTACAATTTCAACTTTTTCTAGAAGAATAGAAGAATAGGCCTAGAACTGCTTTTCTGATGCAAGTAAGTAAGTAAAAGTTTATTTATATAACACCTTTCACAGGTATAGGGCCACAAAGTGCTTCACAATAAAAACAATTAATATAATAAAATACACACAATAAAAGCATAGACAGTACATGATCATATCAACCCACAAGTAGCTAATTGAACGCCTGAACAAACAAATGTGTCTTTAGTCTGCATTTGAAGGCATCAACAGAATCAGAGGAGCGCATAGACGGCGGAAGGTCATTCCACAACCTAGGGGCAACAGCCTGAAAAGATCGGTCACCTCTAGTACGGTAGCGAGTGCGTGGAACCGTCAGCAGGTTCTGATCAACAGACCTCAGAGCACGCACAGGGGTATAACGCTGAATCAGGTCACTAATATAGGGGGCCATGTAAAGCTCTGAAAACTAAAACCAAAATTGTAAAATGTATCCTATAAAACACTGG